ACATCCAAATAAGTCACATGAACTCAGTACTGGTGCACAACACAAAATTCATTTTGCTCATGCGAGCAAACTCTTAGGCTATGTCTACACTGGCGGTTTCTTGTGCAAGAACATCCTGTGGAAGAACCATATTGCACAAGAGTTCTTGTGCAAGAACACATCCACTGCCATGTGCGAGCTGTGCTTTTGCACAAGAGCATCTATGGTAGTGTGGACACTCTCCTGACCAAGAAAATGCCAATGGCCATTTTAGCCATAGGGCTTTCTTGCACAAGAAATTCATGTTGCCTATCTACACTGGCCTGTTGTGCAAGAACAGTTGCGCAAAAGGGCTTATTCCTGAGCGAGAGCATCATAGTTCTTGTGCAAGAAGCCCTGATTTCATACATGAGAACGTCAGTGTACTTGTGCAAGAACACACATCCAGTGTAGATAGGCAGCAAGCTTTGCTCAAGAGCAGCCGCTTTGGTGCAAGATCACGCCAGTGTAGACACAGCCAAGGGGAGGGAGAGAGGCAGGGGCAGGGAATCAGCGCTGACTCAGCATGTCTGCATGGTTTGGGGGAAGGTGCAGGGAAATTGAGCTCAGCTGGGTTGCAGAGAGGGGAGGTCCGGGAAGCTGGGCTGGGCTGGGCTGCATGGTGGGGGTATGTGTGTGGAGCTCAGAGCTCTATTTGGCTGCAGGAGGAGGTAGGTTCCAGGAACCAGGGCTAGACTCAAGGGGAGAGAGGGGCAGGGAATCAGCACTTGGCTCAGGAGTTTTGGGGGAGGCACAGGGAAATGGGGCTCAGCTGTGCTGTGAGGGGCTGCAGGGAACTGGTGCTGCACTCTCTTGGATTGTGGGGGATGGTTTGGGGGGGAGGTGCAGGTAACCTGCAGGGATGGGCATCTCAGTTGGATTGAGGGAGGGCATACGGAACAGATGGGCAGCTCATCTGGGCTGTGAGGGGCTGCAGGGAACCAGCAGGGGTGGGCAGCTCAGTTGGGTTGCAGGGGATAGAGGTGCAAAGAAGCCTAGTTGGGGGGAGGGGCGGGGGGAGAAGAGAACCAGGAGCCCTGAAATGATCTCCTCTGGTCCAAAAATCTCTCATTTGGGACCAGACAGGTCCAGAGGGTGTCAGATCAGGGAGGTCCAACTCCTACCCAAGTCCCCTCCTTGCACCCTCACTCGTAGCCAGACACTCTACCCCCAATCTGCTCCTGTTCCCTCTCCCAGCCAGACACCCTACATCCAGCCTGCTTCTGCACCCTACCTACCACCCAGACCTTGCCCCCTTGCGCCCCCCACCTCCCTCCCAGATCCTGCACTCCATCCCTATCCTGCTCCTTGGCAGCCCTGCCATCCACCCTAGCACCTAGCACCACCCTGTCCCTGGCTCCAGCACCCAGCCTCACACCCCAGGACTCAGCATCACCCTGGCCCTGGCCCTGGACCCAGCACCCTGCCGTCCACGCTAGCACCCAGCAGCACCCTGATCCTTGTCCCAGCATCCTGCCAGTCACCCTACTGCTCAGCAGGACCATGTCCCTGACCCCAGCACCCTGCCGCCTGCCTGCCCCAGCCTGCCCGCCACCTGAGCCATCATCCTTCCACCGAGCAGCACCCTCTCCCCAGCCCCAGCACCCACTTTCACTCTGTCCCCTGCCCCCAGCAGCACATTTGGGACCACATTAGTGAGGCTTGGGGGTTTTTGGAGGATTGTTAGTTTTTTTCGGGTTTTTTGCATCTCACTTGTGTGGCCCCAATTGATTTTCTGTGGGTCAGTGACCCTTGACTCAAAACAGGTTTCTCACCCCACTCATAAATAAAGCATACTAAAACCTTTTGAGTTTGACATAATATTTTATTTAAAAATGAAGCCTGGCCAACAAGCCCCCGATTGGGGCCAAATCCCCATCTCCCTGCAGCATCATAACACTCCTGCACCACCTGGCCCCAAATCTGAGCCTATCATACACTGGAACCCCCTGTCCTGAGCCTCTTACATCCCCAAACTCCTGCACCCCACATCCCCAGTCTTCTGCCGAAACACTCCTGCACTATCCACATATCACAAATCTGTGTCCTGAGCCCGTCATACTCACAACCTTCTTTCCCTGAGTCCCTCACATATCCAGCCCAAACTCCTGCACCCTCACATCCACAAGCCCATGGCTTGCTCAGCACCCCAACCTTCCACCTGAGCCCAATACTCCCGAGCCTGAGCCCCTTCCCCGAGCTAACATCCCCTTCTCCTGCATCCAAATTCCCTCCCACAGCTTGTACTTCTCACCTCTTCCCACACCCAAATCCCTCATTCCCACTCCACACCTCCTGTCTCAACCTAGTGAGAGTGTATAAGGGCTGGGGATAGTAAAGTGATGAAGACGAGGGGAACAGAGTGGATGAGGCCTCAAGGAAGAGGGGTGGGAGGCCTTGGGGAAGGAATGTGATTTTCATGCATTGGCGGGGATTTTCATGAACTGGTGGGTCCCTCCTACCCCTCACCCCCCTTTATTTTTTTATTTTTTTTGCTTGACAAACCTAGGGGTTCCTTGAAATTCTGAAAAGCGGAAAAGGGTTCCTCGGCCAAATAAAATTGGGAAACACTGTCCTAGACAATCACTTCCCGTTCTGTGTGAAATTGGTGGTTCCTTCCTAACTGGAGAACTTTGAATTTGTCTTTATTAAACTTCATCCTATTTACTTCAGATCATTTCTCCAGATCATTTTGAATTTTGACTCTATCCTCCAAAGCACTTGAAATCCCTCCCAGTTTGGTATCATCTGCAAACTTAATAAGCATACTCTCTATGCCAATATCTAAATGGATGAAGATATTGAACAGAACCAGTCCCAAAACAGATCCCTGCAGAACTCCACTTGTAATGTCCTTTCAGCATGACTGTGAACCATTAATAACTACTCTCTCAGAATGGTTATCCAGCCAATTATGCACCCACCTTATAGTAGCCCCATCTAGGTTGTATTTCCCTAGTTTATTGATAAGGTGGTCATAGGAGAATGTGTCAAATGCTTAACTAAAATCTTACTTAATTAAGAGCAGATTGGATAAACATCTATCAGAGAAGATCTGAATGATGCTTGATCTTGCCATGAGGTCAGGGGACTGGAATTGATGACACATCTGCAAAGAAAAGTTCTTAGCTTTTCAACTGATAGACTTAGGAGGCCTAAGAATGGATTTTCAAACAGTAACATGTGTAGATATGTACAGTTATTTGGGGTTATTTTTAGTGGATATTTTACAGTTCCTACATGGAGTGAGGATATCTGCAAGGTCTCTGAGACATCCAGCACCAAGCTTGTAAGGCAAGAGGAGGTGTGTTTTAGTGTGTGGCTCAATCAAAGATAGTGCACGTGTCTACCGGAGGCAAAAAAATACATCCACAACTGCAGTCTGGATTTACCCTAAGGCTAAGTCTACACTGGCCCCTTTTCCGGAAGGGGCATGTTAATTTCAGCTATCGTAATAGGGATCTTATTCCTACTTTGAAGTTTTCCTTTGAAGTAGGAATAAGATCCCTATTACGATAGCTGAAATTAACATGCCCCTTCCGGAAAAGGGGGCCAGTGTAGACGTAGCCCATGAGTACTATGCCAAAAACCAAAAGGATAGAGACAAAGAAACAATAAGAGGAATGGATCTCGCATCTCAATCTGCTATCTGCTACTATGCCACTGTAAAATCTGACTGACTTTAATGGGATTCCATACAGATGCAGAAGTATGCACAAGCAGATCTTGATGCAGGATTAGGACATAATTCTGAAGTTCTTGGCTATCACCAAACAATAACAAAGTAATACATAGTAAAATACATTTTGAAAATTAATATTTATCTGGAAAACAAAAACCTAATTAAATATTTATCTCTATACCCTAAGATTTTCCCATTAATTTCAATGCAGAAGTTTACCTTCTGATTCTAAGTTCTATGACTTAATCTTATTAGAAGGAAAATGGCATCCTACATAAAGCATTTTTTTTTTGTGAACTACAAATTGTTTTACATTTTACTTTTGGGATATGTGTCATTTTGAACAAAAAAACGTGGAGTTTTCCTTTAGTTATATTCTGAAGTCTCTATAGCTAGGCTCTGAAGTCTGTGCACATGTATAATTAAAAATATGTGAAACTGTACTGTATCCAACACCACAGCTATGAAGCCACAAAAATGAAACCAAAAGAAAATAATACAAAACAGCAAAATTAATACTGCAATAGAGATGTCAAGTGATTACATTTACTGATCCAAATAGAAAGGTATTGTAAAGAGCCTTGAAGATAACAGAACTCTGGTGAATATAATGGCTTAAAGTTGCTCCATAGACTGGAGAAGAAAAGCCTATCCCTTGCCCAGTTCACATTTAGCCTTAGAAACAGACAAAGAACAACTCTGTCAAACTGAGCTGCCATACAGAGAGAAATGGTCACTCAGGCACATTGGCCTGGATGATGATGGATTCATAAAGCACACTTTTAAACCAACACCATATTTAAGCTAGTACTTTTTCCATAAAAAAATTTTCAAAACATTTTGTCCAGATGGACTGAAATTAACCAAGTGAAGTCTGTCAGCTGCAGACGATGCTGTATATATTTTAATACTGATTTTGTTTTGTATATGTAACAGAACATAAAACTCTGTAACTTGCACAAGATATCATTTACTGCAGCTACATCTTATACTATATCATCTTATGCTACGTCATATCATACTTTATACATGTAATTGTTTCTTTCTATAGCTTTGGTGGTCAGGCTAATACTAGATACAGACAGATCCGTATCTGTTTAAGGATTATATGCATCTACATATATGACAATAAGTCTTACCACCTTAACATCATTATCTGTGTATCCATTCTTTTTTTCAAAAGAAACATTAAAGACTTTTAAAGTAAAATGCTCTATTTCTAAAAGTATACTCAGAATTCTGACTTTCTAAAATGAAGCCATGCATCTGAGATATGAAGTAACATATCTGAAACATTTACCTGAACCAACTGGAGATGATCCTACACTAAGACTCTGTAAGCTTCCATTCCTGAGCAATGTTGGAGATTTCTGAAGACTGGAGCTTGTTGCACTCCCTGCAGCAGATGCCACAGATGATGTTGGAGAAGCCGAAGAAACTGATAGGTGCGAAATACCCTCCTGACTTTTATTTCCTTTGGGCCTACCAGGCCCATGTTTATTTTGTTTATTTCCTTTCCGTTTCTTTTCTGTTATCGTCTCTTCTTCTAGCACAGAGGTTTGGACTCGCTTGTATCCTGTTGAAGTAAGGCTTGTATTACCTAAGTCTCCAGGTAAGCTGTCAAAGTTTTTAGACTGGGAAACAACTGCTGAGGCTGAAGGGAGACCAATTAAGGAATTAAAACAATTCACACTCACTTCCTGGTTTCCCATTTCTCCTTTATGTACATCTTTGGTTGATAAAGTCTGTTGGGAATGAGTGTAACTGTCATTACGCAGATCTGATTCTGTAAAACTCAAAAAATCCTGGGGAGATTGAACTGAACTTCCAGAAGATGATTTTACACTGCCAGGTGTCCCCAAAAAACTACCTAAAGAAAGAAGAAAAGCCACAAATTAAATATTTAATTATGTTTAATGTTGTTTATTTTAAAAATAAAATGTTTCTATCACTGTTAAAACTGCTTAAGAAGCTGAATAGTCTAGAAAATAAAACTTGGGAGGTGGAGGTCCCTTTTGAAACAGATCTTTACCACCTCAGGGCTTGTCTATGTGAACAGTTGGAATGTGGCAAAAGAGGGTGTATATCTACCTTGCATTTGACAGCTGTGCACTGTTTGTGTGGACCCTGCTGCAGCACACGTACACCCTGATGCACTTTAACCTACTTCACTTTGAAATAGGAGTAGACAGCAATGTTCTACAGAAACTCTATTGTGCAGAAGTAGGATCCATGTAGGTGGAAATCTAGTTCAAGATACATTTACACCCTAGCCTGCTACAAATGCAGGGCTTGTAATGTAATTTTTAAAACATCTATTTTGGTTTCATTATTATTACCATGTTTGCTTCTTACTTTTTTCACCCAAATGGGTCTGATTCTTAGTCACCTCACTCCTGAGCTTGGGACAGGGACGGAGTGGAAAGGAGAAAGTAAGTAGAACAGACAGACAAAAGTGGCTTGTAATCTTCTCATGCCCCCTACATTTTGGCATCATGGTGGGCCACAGTGTAAATAAAAGCACATTGCTTTATCTTACACTCTGATAAGCCTCCAAAGACATAAAGAGTAACTAGCACAGTGTACAATAGTCACATCCCCAGTCTGCTTACACTCTGCTTTTGACATGCCCCCTAAAACAGGGTTCTGAAGTAGGGCTATACATAGAGCACTTGCACCAGTTCCACACTGGCTATAGAGGTACTCTTCAGAAGGGTAATAGATATGTAGCCGAGTATATGAAGGGGTATTTCTCAGGTGGTTGTATAAAATAGAGATATTAGCATGTACTTGTTTACACGATAAACCTGGGCTCACTGGTTAATCCTAATGGTTACAGAGGCAGCAAAGTCGGGGGAGAAATGAACGCTGGTGTTCCACAGAGACAGCAACACAGACGGGAGCTGGTGTTGGGGGGGGAACCATCTTAAAAGCCGGCTCCTGCCTGCCCCCCTGCATGTAAATGTGCAACCGCTAAAAATGTCAGTGGCTACATGTTTACAAAAATAAATGTGTTTTTTTTTTAAACTCCTAGTATAAAGGGGCACTTTAAGCCTTTCATACTGTAGGAAAAGCATAAAAAACATTTACATAACTGAGAGTCAGTGTTCCCTGTAAGCTGAGTGCCTGCCCAACAAAGATGCAGGTGCTTCCAAGCTGATTGACAGAGCGCCCTAAGCTACCCACAGCCAGCAGAATGTGTTTCTATTGTTGAAGCACATCTGCACATGCCTCAGTGCACATAACAAAATTTATTCCACACATGGACGGAAACAAATTAGAGGGACCATTGCTGAGACTCATATGCTACCTCACTTTCTACTTCTCATATATTAGCACAATGTTGAAGTGACTTAGTTTCAAATATACAGAGAAATGCTTAAAAAATCCAAATACAAATGTGTTTTCACTGAATTCGGCAAGTATTTCTGGACCTTTTTAAAGTTAGGTTTTGAAAAATACTGAATATGGGACATAATTACCTGCAAGTTGGTCTCCTTTGAAGAATACATTTAGAATTCCTTTAACCCTATTTTTTTATATTATATTCACACACCAAGTAGGTATAGAAAAAGAGTCAAACAATACATTTTCGGAAACTGGTAAAAGCGCTTTATCAACAAAAGCCATATTTTAACATTAGTACTCCATTAAAGTAAACTCAAATTAAAAATCAGTTAAAAAATAAATAATTTACATTATATCAATGATTCTAAGATAACTTCAATTTTGCCACTTAATTTGCATTCATATAAAGATGCTTTCCATCATCAATTCTGACCTATCGCATGTTTCTTTTATATGTTGGTTTTTACAGCTGCTATAAAGATCAAACTAATGTATTAAATATTTTTAAACTACAAAGTATTTTAGGAGCAACTGGTATTCCTAATCAATAAGGTACTTTAAACACTAAATCTTTACTAACTTGGTAGGAAGAGTGGGGAATAATGCTATAAATTCTCTCTGTTCAACAGCACTCTGTTACCATTCTTGGCGCCTATTTTTCTTTCACTTTTCTTTCATTCTGGGCTCTGATTTTTAAGAGTTAATACCGTAAAAATCTAAACAAAACATTACCTATATTTTCTCATGCTTCAATACAACACACTGATCGCATTTGGATTATTTTAGCATGCAGAATGCAAACTGAAGGCATTGTTTCAAAAAGTCTAAGTATAGAGGATGAATTGCTACCCAAAAGTTTTGTAATTTAAACCTGTAAACGGTACACATGCAAACATTTCTATTGGCTTCAACATGGGCATCAAGGACAAGCCTGAAAAGAGTAGTGAATCCATTCATAATTTTGCCATAACGAAAAGAGCCTGACTTATTAAAGAACATTTGCATTATCCTATTTTGAAACACTATACACTTCCAAAAGAATGCAAAGAGAAATTGTAGATTTAAAAGAGCTAGTAGAAGTTGCAATTATTTCCCATCATATTTTTCAAGACACAGCCTGCATTTTAATAATACTGTTACAATACCTTTATTTGCAAGAACGCTTATCCTTATTAATTTGTTTAATACTATGTTATATACGTGTAAAAATCACCACTAACATAAGCTATAAGGGCATCCATTGCAGAACACGCCAACATTTTTACAAGTGTCTTAGTCAAAACAGTCATTTGATTCATCTTCAATATTTGCTCTTGAGAAAAAAAATTGTTGTGGCCAGCTTTGATTTGAAAAGCAGAGGAAGTCACGTAAATCCAAGTGACTCCTTCAAACGGTATGATTTTATGAATTAAACATATCTTATGTATTAAATTACCTGCATAAAATCAGCAAATTTAAAAAATAATAATTGTCATGTGCATAATAAAGTACTACACTATATTCATATTTAAGAAATGATCTCTTTCAATATAAGATTTCAATAATACTCAAGAATGTAAAGTAAAACACCCTCTCAAAACAAATCTGCAAATGGTATACCACACATGCTCACACACAATAAAAACCTTAACCAATACATGAAATAAGATATAAAATCATAACCGGCTGTTATCATTCTGATATTCACCAACTGGAAATTTTAGAATTAATATAAATCATCTTCAAAATACATGAGTTGTGGGTTTATGTTCCACAGATTATTAATACAAATTATTGATAAAATCTGTTAAATGTAAAAACTATTACAAATTCTGACTACTCTTCCTGACTACCACAATTTATCCTACAGACAGACCAGAAATAGTTTCTGCTTT